CTTTAAAAGAAAATCCCACTAAAAGCCTTTTTTTTTTATTAAAGCATTTGCCATATTTTGAAGCTTTTTGGAGATTTCTAGTTTACAATATTCTTCCAGACTTGTTTATGGTTTTAATAGTTGCCACTCCTTGTAACACTTATAACTATATGGAAAAATATTCGAAGTTGCAAGTATCTATAATTTAAAAACTCAAACCAATCTGTCACTGGTAGTTACAGGGAAAATTACTGTATTTATGAAACTTATAGAAGAGCCCTGTCCTTAGCTGGAGGATGCCAGTTAATTGAGAACACTCTCAGAGCTAGGAAGCTGAGCTGAGAAGTCAAGCTGAAACACAAAACACTTTCTCTGTTGCTCCTTCCCCCATAAACCTACAAGCAGAGATATTTTGAGATGATAGGACACTGTAAATATTTTGATTGTTGTTAAATGAAAAGATTTTTTTTTCCCCAGCCTCCTTCATAACAAAGATGACATTACTTTGTCCTCTGTCACCTTGTAAAAAGTGAGTAGTAAGAAATACAGCATTGTCTTGTTTTTTAAGATTGGAGTGTTGGCAAAAAAAGAAGAGCACAAAAAGGAGAAAATGAAATAAGATTGCAATTACACTTGACTCTCAAGAAAGCACACTTCTCTTTCTTTACAAGTAACTCTACCAATTGATTGTGATTCATTGTTGGACACCAACTTTCTTCTTTGCTGTTGTCTTTGTGTATTGTTTAGATGAAGAGCACTAGGAAAACTGTGTATAATTTTTCAACTACATGAATGTATGTGCAAACTTTATGACTGTGAAATCAAATAAATCAATATTTAGGAAGACTGAAGCCATTTATAGTGACTTGAATTAAGCAATGTACTTTGTGCTTAGCATTGTTTAGCTAAGCTAATCACAGAAGATTAACCTTTAAAAATTTATATTGCAAAGTATGTTGATCCTATTCTTGGTTCTTAATGCTTTTAGATCTGTAAACAACATTTGACATTTACCAATAGTAATGTCATGGACAAATATTCTCCCATTCTCCAAATAACAAAGGTTTGAATTGTTTTCCTCTGCTTTTTTGAGGAAAGAGTTGAAGACTGGCAGCAGTGGAGTCTTTTTTTTTTTTTTTTAATGGTGAATTGAACGGTGACATCACTGTGGAGATCATTAGAAGTTAAATGTTTAACACTGAAAAACATTATGCAATCATTAAGGTTTTTGCAGTGGCCACTGTTTCATCATTTTATTTGAATGACACAGAAATACTTTATAGAATGCATTTCAGAAAAACTGGTTTTAAGGTGTGTTCTGATCCTAAATCACAACAGCACTGAACTAAGTGCACAGGTATGAACCTCTGAGCAGTCCTATTGTTTTTGCCGTGATGTCTCATCTGTTTATACATACTTCTGATCTTTGCCTTCAGGTAGTGTTGTAATACTCAATATTGAGAATGAAAAAGAAAGAACAAAAATTTGTGATAGATGCAGCGTTTACCATTCAAGTTTTCTAGTACCTTTCTTAACAGGAGTTCTGAGGGACAAACAGTGAATCTTAAATTAGTCTGACAAGCTTTTTTAAATCTGTGGTCTGAGTGCCCCTCTTGCTCCATAAATTGCTTTGAAGAATCTACAAAAGGCAATTAAGAAGGAAAAGTTCAAATATGTCATGGAGTAACTTGCATGCATGAAGTTCTAGAGATTAAAAGAATATTGGTAAGCATTGGACAGGAGGAGAATTTATGGGACAGGCTCTGCAGCAGTATTAATCCTCAACAGTCATACAAAAGCGCTACAGATCGTTTTTTAACGTAACACAAAACCTGTCATTGATATTTAATGGCATTGGAATATGTTTCTTTTAGCTTCGCAAGACATAACATCTCAAAGCGTGCAAGCTGTATTTAGATTGCAGATACCTTGAAATACAGAAGTGTTTCATACTCACCGATGTTTGCTCTTCTATTAAAAACAGAAACTGTTGGAACAATCTGAAGGAAGTCACATATGCAATGAGGCCTTGGGGACACCAAGTGAAAAGCACAAGTCATGTAAATGAGCATCTCAAAACTAGACTATTTTTGTGGAAAGGTTAAGGACATTTGGTTTTGAGAGATTTTGCCACTGCTAGACATAAGTAGCAATTTTAGATACGTAACTCAATGGAGCTTTTAAATATATAATTAAGACAGTTTTTCCTCTAGTAGTGTTAAATCCAAACTAGATCTGTGCTCGTGCAGAAAATGGCAGTAGTTTCATTCCTATACCATTATTATTCATAACAAAATTCTTAGGAAAAAAGGGGGGTTATTGCAGCTTAACTTTGTTTTGAGAATTTGCTGGAGCTTCAGGCAGATTCCTGATTTGAAGAACAGCTGTTAAGACACAGCATAGAATTTAGAAGTGCAATACTTGCTCTTGTTAGGACATGTTGCTGCTGCATACACACAGCCTGGAAGAAGCTGTAAAGCTAGGCTCTAGATCGACAATTAGAATGGCTGGACCAGCCTCATCTAAAGAATTTGGGTTTATTATCTTGGGGAGGGGAAGGAGGACAACTACTGTATCCCCTTAACATCTAATGGAAGATTTAAAGGCTTTTCAAAAGTCCTACAGATTCCTTTTGTCCATTTTTTTCTGACACTGTTGAAGAATAATAGCAGATCACAATACTCGCTTTCCTTGGGAATGTCTTCTGAGTTGTTGTATCACACTAGTCCAAGTGGTCTAGAATTCTGCCTTTAATTTCAGCTGGTTCTTTAAGTTTACTTCCTAGTACATGGTGATTTATATCTAAGCAGTTAACAGCATAAAGCAAAACACAGTATCAGTTTAACACAGTAATCAGAGGCTAACTTTGACAATGTGAGGTTAAACTGCTTCTGAAAAATGCCGTATGCCACTGCAGGTTGTCTATATGACTATGTGCATACATTGAACATTCATACAAGATATACATATACAGTAAACATATTAAATATGTGTGATGATACACATTTGGTTCCTGTTAAGACCAATGGAAACTGAGGTTCCCAAACTCCACATGGGAGATTCTCACAGTATCCAGTCATAGATATCTATTTCACAGGGAAAACATAGCCTTTCCTTCAGAGCTCTGAAAGTTTGGTTCCATAGGTGTGTTCAGAAAATGAGACTTCAAAAAGCTCTGGCTCTTTTTTCACTTACTTCCTCTTTTATCCACAATATTGGTTTTGATTCAGAACGCTTTAACGGGGACTGTTATTCTTTTCTTTGTCCCTAGGCTGATAAACTGTCATTACTACAGAGCAAAACCTTTTCAATACACAATATTCCCAGTGGGTCATTAATTTTATGTTGAAATAAAAGAATTTTTTCCCTTTGTCTCCTGACAGTTATGCCTGATTTTTCTGTATTAGACCAAACTTCTACTCTCTTTATTACTGTTAAGACTTTTCCAAAACCAAAGAAAGACTATGTCCAGTCAAGCATTCTGAATGTATGGTTAAGGGAAATAAAATTTGCACAAATATATTATCCTCTTTCAAAGTGTTAGTGTGTGACCCTTTGGTTCTGTGTTACTATTTGTTCCTTCTCCTTTGAATTTAATGGGGGAAGACTTCAGACTTATGGGAATTTTGAAATAAAATGTTACGCCTGTAGGCCATGGACTGATGAGATATTAAACATACTGTTTTATTTCCTTCTACATTACTTAAAAAATTAGGAGAAATCACACAGCTGACCACATTGCAGTTACTTAATGCTGCTGTAAATAGATCATAATAAGCATGTGATATATGTGATTGTCTGTGCTGATAAATGAAAGGGTGTGGATTGTTCTCCATCGTGGAAGGAGGAGAACAAGAAAAAAACCTTCCTGATTGCAGCTGCAAATGGTAGCAATTTTTCCTTCCTGCATTAATGAATGTAATTCATGTAATACATATTACTTCATTCAACAGCAAAATTCTCATGTTCAGTTCACAGATATAAGGTATTTTAAGTAAGAATATCAATGAGTAATGACAATCCACTTTCAGAAAAAGCAAAGAAATGTGCTTTTTTGGTCATGTAGAAGGAGCTGTAATGCAAATATAGTTTATCAGTGTAATAACTTCACCTTCCTAAAACTCTATCAAAAGAATATCCTTTAAGCCATGTTCTGCTTTATATGTCTATTTTCACTTTCTAACCTTCCTTTACATGCAGTATTTGACTGCAGACTTGCATTTTACAGTCTCTGGTGATCAAATCACTTCATCGTCTATAAACATCACAAATTAAAAGAGCTTTCAGCAACCGAAGTCCAATACAACATACACAAAACTAAAATAATTACTTGTCTAGAGACCATAACAAATTTTAATGTGCATTTACAGAGTAAACAGAGGGCTGAAAGGGGTCAAACCAGTGGAAGTGAAGGTATGTATTACAAAATCCACACAGTACTGAATTACAAACTAAAAAGTGATATTTTGTTAAAAAAGCAAATAAAGATGTCTATTGGTGGCACGACATATAGATAATATTAAAAACTGCCTTGCATGAGGACCAAAGTATGACTGCTTTGAAGTTATATCACACAGACTGTAAGCAATTTACAGAATTTAAGTTAGTTTTGCATATACAAGAGTTGCAAAATCAGAGAAAACACACTGAAATATAGAACACACACAAAAAAAAAAAAAAGATGTATATATATATAAACCTCCACGCAGTAATCAGGGGTTGGCCTAAGTCAGTAACTGCCACCGTTGAACAAGAAACAAACAAAAAAATACAAGAAAAAAAAAAACAAGGGGAAAAAGAATAATAAAAACCACCCTGAACAAATCAAAAGAATAATTTCCTTATTTGTTTTCCAAAAACAACGTGCTCTAGTCTGCTTAGTTTCTTTGCAGAATTTCTTCTCTCCTCCCTACTCCTCATTAAAAAAAAAAAACACCCCCCCCCCCCCAAAAAACTGGCTTTTTCATAAATTTGTGGGGTATTTTTGGGGGGGTTCATGCTACATCACTATATTCTGTTTCATTATTTGACCTCTCTTTGCTTCCAGGCTGGAACGCTTCTTTCAGCGCAGGAAACCAAATGTCATCCATGGTTAATTCTGTAATACTGATGACTTGCAGGCCAACCCCTGAGAAGTCAAGGATGAGGCTTCTCCTTGTCGAAAGAAAAGGAAACTAGTCTTGCTGTTACAAAGTATTTGATTACATCACACCAGTTCTCTTCAAATGAAAGATCAGTGATACGCAAAAGAAAATAAGATATATCAAGAAAACATGTGGTATCCTCTTCTTTTTATAATATTTATTTATTGTATTTATTTATTTAGTATTTTTGTTTGTACTTCCTGAAGAAGGTGCTCCTTGTGTAGAGATTTAGAGTACATTGGGTGCAGAGTGGTGGTTGGAGGTTAGGGTCAACTTTGCTGTCCGCTCCGTGGATTTTACAGGCGATTTGCTCTTTGCTTTAAGAAGAGAAAGTGATATTGGAAAAAGTCAGCACTTTTAGATTAAAGCAAAGCACCCTTCACAAAGCCACAAACAAGAAGCAGGACAGAAAGTCCATGGCTTGTAGCTATCCTCGCACCTGCGGAAGAAGTTATAAGATATTCGCTCATCTTGCAGATTTCCAATGCTCCTTATAAGGCTGTTTTAAACACATACATTTATATATTTAATTAGCTCGCCAGGTTGGCTCTGGTGCCCATGAATGTCTTGGCATGCACTGCAAATAACAACACATACAAAGTATTTCAGTCCCAAGGAGGGTTTTTTGTTTGTTTGTTTTTCTTTGTTTTTGTTTCTCATCTGTCTTTTTAAACAATGTTATCCAGTGAAACCATAAACCAAGAGGAACAAACCCAAACACCTTCCACCTCACCTCTTTACAAAATCATTTCCAGCATCACATCATTGACTGCTAACAAAAATTCATCTAGTGGCTACCGAGTGTTTTCTTCTAAAACAGAGGAGGTACTGGCAAATGGCTGTGCTGTTTACAATGCTAGAAAGTTTGAAATATTTATTTTTAAGAAAGTAGATTTTCCCAAGATTTTTTTTCTTTTTTGAAAGCTATGAAAACAATGGTACATATCGTTATTGTTAAAAACTTTACTTTATATTTTAAACATGTTATCAGACTAAAACCATTCAGATCTAGACTAACTGAAATGCTCGCACACCAAGGACATAAGTATTTAAATGTCTTACATACCAAGTCTCAGTGCTTTATAACTCCCTATATCATAAAGAATTATACTCAGAATTTGAAACATATTACTTAAGATGAAAATAATAAATTTAATTTGTTTACACTATAAATAAAAGTTCCAATTATAAAAGGTTAATGCATGATTAATAGGTTCTATAACTGTGTTGTATATTTAAAAAGGATTAATGTTATTGATGGTTATAGGCATCAGTTCTATAACAAAGTAATAATGGTGCCATAAGCAGTCCATAATAATGCTGGACTTTTAACAACTGTTTGGTTTTAAAAAAAATCTATTAATCATGTATAAGCTATTTTTGTAAAAAAATTAATATTAAACTGAATGCTGGATTCTATTACATTCCCAAAAAACACATTTATCTTCTCATCAAGAATATACACAATGAAAGCAAAAAGAACTCAAGAAAAATGTTAATTTTTTTTTTCATTTTTAGACTTTCATCAGTAAAACATTTCTCTGTATCTGCTAAATATTTTTAGTAATGGCAAGAAGTATTTCTGTTCCTATCTTCAGTAAATTTTTCCCTTCAAAAACAGGGATTAAACTAAATCCCAGATCTCTGATCACTGTTTCCTTTTGTAAATACATGGTGTGAGATGTTGTATATACAGTAGCTGTCATAAAAGACTCTTAGTCTTCGGCCGCATACACAAGAGCTTCTAAGTAATAGTGATATTTCAATTATCCATGTGTGAACTGAATTTCCGAATGAATATTAGCTTTTAAATGGAAACATGCCTCAAAGACATTACTAAGATTTTTCAAAGAAGTCCAAGGGAACTCTGAGCTTGGTTCCTACACCATGTAGACAGGAGTGGGAAGCCTGCTTTTCCTTCGCCCATCTGATTATGCTGGCCTACCTGCACTACACTGCAGCACTTTGCTGGGCTTCTCAAAGCACTTGGTCTGTATTAGGAACAAGCAAACATGCAAACAAATTTTTTGTAACTTCTTCCTGTGGATTGTTCTCATACAGGTGATATTTACAAGCTTGCGCCCAAGGGTAGAGTTCAATTTCTGGTTTTGGTTTTATTGCAGCATGACTTTGTTCTCTCTTATATATATGGTGTAAAATTTGTCATTTGACAGGTTTTTATAAAGGCTTTTCTTTC